TCAGTAAATGACCCCTTACACCTTCCACTCTCTCTTCCACCTGTTTCTTGTATAAACCCACTGGAAGATACTTAAATCCTAAGGTAATTTGCCATTTTTCAAAGAAAATGATTCTGCACATCACTGCCTTAGATGTGGCTCTTGTGCAGTGTTTTTCCACTATGCTAAGGATAACAAGATGAATGAAGGTTCAGGTTTTCTTTTATTGGTACCAGGCAGACTTACCTGTGGGTACCCTCTTGCTCTTAGCAGAGGTGCTGGTGGACAGTCTCACTCCATCTGGTTGAGGAAGAGAGGCAGTAGGAGAATGCAGTGGCTTGCCCACCATGAAGGATGCCTCCTGGGAGGCCTGGGCGGTGATGTGGGAAATGGCACAGGAACTTGCTTTTTCAGCAGTTTTACCTTCTAACTCCAGGCCAGAGATTCTTGACACTGCTGTTCTGCAGGATCACCTGTGGAGTGAAAGACGCATATGCCCAGGCCTTCAGATTTTGGACTCAGTAGCTCTGGGTTGGGGTTTAGAGAGCTGTATTTTTAAGAAGCTCTTCAGGCATTTCTGATACTGAGCCAGGGCTCAGCAACACTTACAAAGCCCTGGGCCCCTCCCCTCCCAGTCCAGGATGGTTAGAGAAGATAACCCAAGCAGATGTAATAATAGGCACAAAGGAGGGCTGTCCTAGAAGAATCAGAAAGGATTTCCCAAAGAGGAGACACTGCCGTGGGAACCTGTGTCCCCAGGCAGTGCGCCTTCCGTGGGAGTAGTGTTTGTATGGCAGCAGTGGAGAGGCCTTGTGATGAGCTGGGCAGGTGGGATGAGGTGGAAGCCCATAGACCCCAGGAGGGACTTCCAGAATTGTACTCAAAGGGGTCTTCTGTTCACTCTCAAGCCATGTAAGGGCCAACAGAAGAGAATGGGGCTTGTTCAATGGAGTTTCATTCCTTTCCAATCCTGAGTTTCTGATTTTGACATTTTTGTTGTTGCAGAGTGTGATAATATATATTTGGTCTTTTCCCCTGGCAGTTTCTGAAACCTTTGGAATTTCCTGAGTGATGAGGGTGATAGGAACATCTTTTGTTCTCATAAGATGGGCCCCTAGATAGCTTCAGGACGGGGCTGGTCACCAGAAAGACCAGGTATGATAAGCCTGTTGAAACTTGCAGCTCCATCCTACCCCCCTGCACCCTGCACCTGCAGGGAGGGAGACAGGGGCTAGAGACTGAGCTTATCAGTGGTCAGTGATTTAATCAATCATGCTTACATAATGGAACCTCCACAGAAACCCCTATACAATTGACTTTGGAGAAATTCTGGGTTGGTGAACACATCCATGTGCCAAGAAAGGGCATGGAAACTCCACACCCCTTCCCCATACCTTGCTTTATGCATCTCTTCGGTTTGACTGTGCTTTAGTTGTATCCTTTTTTTTTTTTTAACATTTTTTATTGAGTTATAATCATTTTACAATGTGGTGTCAGTAGCTGTATCCTTTATAATAACTGGTAGTAATTAAGTAAACTGTTTTCCTGAGTTCTGTGAGCTGTTCTAGCAAATTATTGAACTTGAAGAGAATCCTATGAACCCTTGATTTATAGCCTGTCAATCAGATGAGCAGGAAGCACAGGACTTGAAATTGGCATCTGAAATGAGGGCAGTCTCATAGGACTGAGCCTTCAGCCTGTGGAGTCTGTGACAACTCTAGGTAGTTAGTGTCAGAATTGAGCTGTAGGACACTCAGTTGGTGTCTAGAGAGTTGGAGAATTAGTGTGAGAAAAAACCCTACACATTTCGAGTCAGAAGTGTTGTGAATAGAAACTATTCAGACAGGATTTTTTTTCTATTAAATCTTTATATCTTAGTCTGTTAGTCCTTTGGCTCCAATCTAGACCCATGTGTTGCCTTTCTTGGTCCCAGCCCCCTAGGGGTGTCTGCATGCAGTGGAGGCATGAGGCTGCCAGAGGCCAGCTGGGCGCTGTTGTTAATCATTTAACTCCTCTAAGCCTGTTTCCTCCACTGTAAAATGTGCATAATAATGCCGACTTCACAGGGTGCTGAGAGGGCTGATTGAGCGCATAGATGTGGAAGAACTTTAGAAACTGAAGTTGCTCTTCAGAGATGTAGGTTATGATATTTGGGGGATATTCTTATTTTAAAGCAGTCTTACGTAGTGATAGAAACCACCAGGCCTTCCTTCCTAATACTGTTCACAGTGCAAAGTTAAGGGTCATAAAAGAAGTCTCTGTAGATTTAATTATTTCCTCAGACAGGGAGCAGCTTTGTGGTTTCTCCAGGACTTCCTTTGTTCCCAGTGTTACCACATCTTTACTTCTACAGGCTCCTGTTGATATCCAGATCCTCTTAATACGGCAGTTTTCTTTTGCAGGCTCAATGCCCGACCAGGAGTTGGAGGTGTTCGATCTCGTGTTGGGATCCAACAGAGCCTTCTCAGCCAGCCAGCACGCACGGCCACTTTCCAGCAGAGATTTGATGCTCGGCAGAAAATTGGCCTCTCAGATGCCCGACTCAAGTTGGGAGTCAAAGATGCCCGGGAAAAGCTTTTGCAGAAAGATGCCCGGTTCCGGATCAAAGGGAAAGTGCAAGATGCCAGAGAGATGCTGAACTCCCGCAAACAGCAGAGCGCAGTGCCCCAGAAGCCTCGCCAGGTGGCCGACGCCCGGGAGAAGATCAGCTTGAAGCGGAATTCCCCTGCTGCCTTCATGAGCCCACCCATTGGGACGGTGACCCCTGCTCTGAAGCTCACTAAAACCATCCAGGTAGGTTGTGGCTCTTGTCATAAATTCCTGGAAACCAGTAACAACTGTAGATTCAGGTGGGGACCAGGGACCAGGAGTGTTGAGGCAAAATGTCAGTTCCCCCAAGTGTTTGTATAGTAACTGTATGAGGAAGGCAAGGTGTCATCTCAGTTTTATGTAAAAGAAAAGGAGCAGGGGGCGGTCCAGAGAAATTAAGTGCCTTTCCAAGTGAGATGGTGGTAGAGGGGAGAGAAAGGAGGGGACAAAACATTTGTTGAGCACATGCTATGTGGCAGGCACTTG